CTGGATCTCTTGCAACCAACATCCTTACAGAATTCCCACAGTTTCTCAACACTTGAGCAACTTGTTCACTGGTCATTCCTTGTACATTGGTTCCTCCAATCTGTAGGATGTGATCTCCTGTTCTGAGTCGCCCATCCTTCAAACAAACAAACAAACAAACAAAAACCCTAAAACATTTTATAAGTAACTGGAACAAAATTTTACATTGCAAAATTGCAACTGTGTAATAGAAATGTTTTCATGAAGCAACTAGTGCATGAAAATACCATGAAATCAATCAGCGCTGCAACAACTAATTTAAGGAAGTGCTAAGACAATTAGCCACTGTATTTTATAATGGTGTTTAACAATTCTCCAGCAAGCCGTTAAAAACTCATAGGCCTTTAACAGTACATTTCTTTTTAAAAAAGATTAAATATTTTATTTATTGGTAATCAAATACCAAAAATGTTTTATAATCCTGAAGTCTGAGATTTTCTGAGAATTAAGTGATCAAATAGCAGAACAGGAGCTTAGGGATAAAAGCATAGTATTTAGATTTAGTGCTATTTGGTCAATCTCATGATACTTGTATATTAGGCTTACAGCTCTCGTTCACATGACTACTCCTTACTCAAGCAAGTAATTTCACTGAACATAAGGGAACAACACACATGAGTATAATTACTCATGTAAAAAGTCAGTAAAATCAAGATCTAAGTCATCATTCTTAATGCAAGAGAAAGTAATGCTAAACATTCATGGGCTCAAACCCTTAACTGGCATGTCCCAGCATAGTTCCACTGAGTAAATGCACTGTTCTACACCAGCTGAGGACCTGGCCCATAACATTGTTTCTGGGGCCACTTCTTGGACAAGTTAAGGCTCATTTTCAAAAGCCTCCCAGTGCTAGCATGCATGTGCCCAATATTTCATACATTTTCAGTTTTTTCTTCCATTTAACTGAGCCTGATCTGGTAACATCTACATTTACATCTGCTATTTGAAACCAAAACATTTTGTTCCTTGCAGCAAAACAGGTGTTTCACAGTAAATGAAAAAGCACTGATTTATACAACGTTTCATAGAAGAGGTACTCAAGTAACAGCCAACACTTTCCATTCCAGCTCTTCAAACAGCCAATTGTCACTTTTATTCTTTATTGAAGCAAATCCCATAAACTGCCTTTTTCTGTACAAAGGTTTTAAAATGCAACAGTTCTTTGTTGAACACCTAGGGCCCCGGGCAGCATTTATTCTAACTGGGCACCGGCAACTGTTGGGTTTTTTTACGTCCAAATCCTATTGAATACTTCAAGCCCTTAACCAAACTTAGGCTAAGTACAGATAGTCAAAAAGCATGAGGCTGACTGGATTCAATCTTCCCAGGTTAGTCTAAGCTGCATAGATTGAACTGATAAGCAAACTGATTTTTGATTCCAGGAATGCAGCTACAATGTCTGCAGTGGCCCATGCCAAAAGCTGGGGTGGGGGGCACTAGAGCATGTCTCCCTGTTCAGCTGGAGCAGATAGCTTGAGTCAAAGCTAGACCACCCAACCTGCAAGGGTGGGGGAGTTTGCAGCAGTGATGCAGAGCATCCTGGGATGCTGAAAACTCTGAGGTAACTTGAATCTGGAGGGGATCCAAGTCAGAAGTTCAATAAACCAATTTAACCTAAATCAGTTAAGTATGATATTACATCCATCCAGGTTTATATTACATGGGTTTTGGCCATTTTGAAAGCAGTACATTTGCACTGATTTTTTGTCGTGTTACAGATCTGAACCAGTTTCTAATCACTTACACCAGTTTGTGTGTAATTTCTGCCCCCAGCCTTAAGGACTATGCTGGACTTTGATGTGCTCAGCACCTCTCGCTTTTATGCCTTTCCAATTAAAACACCGGTACGGCAATCTGATCCAAGCAGGTCTACCCATTCACCTTTGCGCAGTACCACTCATTCTGCACTAATCTTTACAAGAGTCTAAGGGTCTTTACAAAATATATTTATTAGTCATCTATGGGCTGAGACTCACAACATCCACATGCATACACAAAGGTGTATGAGATCTTGCACAAAAAAGAATTATTCATTTGAGAACAGTTTGTGAAGTTGGTTCCTCCTAAATGTAACCAAATATATAAAGTTCTCTAATACTCTACAATTCTGTTATGAGTAGCTGTCCAAGATTGGTGACTAATGGTTGACATAGGATTGAATGTTAATTAGAATGCTGGGCAACTTTTTAATCTGTCTGTTTTTACACTGCAATCAAAGCCAAAATATGTCCGAGATGTAACTTAAGGCAGTTTAAGGGTTGTTGTTTTTTTTAATCAGTTGTTATATTTTTAACATGTATTCATTTACAAATAATATATATATTGGCATTCAGTCTTTGATGCTATCTTCCTCCTTGTGTTTGGATATATCAAGTTGATGTAAGGACTGTCAAAAGTAGTTAGTTTTACTTTACAACAGAATAAGGAGAGACATAAAACAACAAATTACCCGATCTGCTAATCCTCCAGGAACAATAGTCCTTACAACTACACCATTTGATTTTCCTCCCACAATTCCAAAACCCAATCCTGAGCCATCATTAATCAGCTCGACATCTTCAACACTGCCCCAGTGAATCTGTAATAAATAGAAAAGGGAGATTTTAAATTTCACTTAAAATGGGAATATTTCCAAACCTTACATTTACCAGAATTGAGTTATTAATCTAATTTAGAACAGTTTCCCCCCACAGCTGCAGCAATAATGAATCTTGGTCAACCAGTTCCCACCTTCACAGAAAAAATCATGTTTTTTTAGTTTCATAAGAGGACACCATCTTTGGACACATCAAAACAATTTCCTTACCACAATGGAACCTCTTAAAATCTGATAAAAGTCAGGAATATTGTAAACTACAAAAAGATAGTGAGAGGTCAGCATTAATCTAGTTTTTGGTTAATATTTATTCCGTACCCTACTTCCGCCAGGTCACTTATCACTTCTGATGAGCTCCAGTGTACCCTGCATTAAAAGCACAATGTAAATTTTACCCTACCAAATTACAGCCATGTCTCTAAAATACTTTGAATTGTAGCCTTATATTCTACAAGACTATCAAGACCAAATAATTTTGATCTCCTATTAGAATTTCTTGTAGAAATCAAACTGAAGCAAGCAGGCAGGTATGTCTTCTACAAATAAAGCTTTATTATTACATTAAAAATGTTTGCCAAGACCAGTTAAAAATCATAAAAGATGTTTAAAGACCCCCTACAGAGAAATATCTTTGATTTTATTTTGTTAGTCTGTTCAGTGCAGATCCTTCAGTGAAAAAAGCAGTTAAAGTTTAATTCCTTAAAATTTTCAGAGCAATAAACAATATTGATTATCCATTAAACCTTCAAAATTCACTGGTTCTATAAGAATCATGAGAGAAATAATTACTTAGTAAAAGAGAAGGCATTCCTCTTAAGATTTCCATCAAAACCTATCAGCATAATGAATTAAAATCCCAATATCACAAACCATGTAATCAATTAAGCCTGTGGGCCATATGCTTGAACATAGAGCCAAGATCAGGCCCCAAATGATTATACCATCAAATGGTAAAGCCCTCCCACCTCAATAAAATTACAGTGTTTTTGATCAGAGGAGGCTAGCAACACCTGAAAGCTCGTATGAAAAACTCCCTGGCTAATCTTTAAAAGGTCTCCCTCTCAATGATACATAAATGCATATCTTCATCATAAAAAAGAACTTTGTTTTGGGTGTTAAAGTTTCAGAAGAGCATCATATTCAGGCTGGATAAGATAGGCTTTGCCAACTCCTTTGTATGTCACAATCAGTGCATCTTCAGTTGTTGAGCAAAAGTGTGTTTATACTGGGTAAATTGACAAAGCATCCTACACGGTCTTTGAACAAATTCAATGGTTAAAAAATAGGTTGATCTACTAACGCCTCAATTCCCCCATAAAACCTACTACTTTATAATAAATTCATTCAGCTTTGCAATGGAAGCATTATATTTATTACACAATTAGTTTAAATGGAAACACCCTCTGCAATCCATAACCTGATAGAAAAAAAAACATAAGGTTAGATTCTTTAACATAAATAGCTGCAACTATAAAACACCCTCTAACAGTCCAGTATCTGATTTTTGATATTTTTACAACTCACAGTCTCTGGTGGATTTATGTCACTTAAGACAGTAGAGGTTCTGCTATTTCTTTGGACCGGCTCCCTGGCAACCACCAGATGTAAAGATCCTGTGGACTGTTGGAGCAGCGCAATCGCCTGCTGATGGGAAATGTTCTGATCCAAAGGGGTGTGATTAATGGCCAGTATGTGGTCATTTTCTTTTAATCTTTGATCCCTTAGTTCATAGGAAGAAAAAAAAGATTTTTTAAAAAGCAATATAAGTATACTCATGACAGTATTGTGTGATCCGAGAACATGTGAAACACGCAGATATGCAAGGTTGTGAAGGATATCAAAACTAAATTAATTCAATTATTATATTGTCTACAATAGTATACAAGTTTTTAATGAGAATCCCAAAATCTATTTAACAGCTCAAACAAATCAATTTTTTTGCAACACTGTTCCTATTGAAAATTAAAACATGTTCACCAATTCATTATGGATTATGGAAAGCCAAAGAGCAGAAAAGTTCAATTTTTCCAATCATATAATGAATAAACTAGCATTTTTCATTATTTTTAGTACTGTGACATCATCTCTAAGTACCAAACACTTAGAGTCTGACACAGCTTTATGTCATTATTCAGCCTAAGGATTAAGATGTGAATCCAAGACCAAGTTCAACTGGGGGTGGTGGGAGGAAGGTAGGGGAGCCTGGTCTTGGACTCAAGTACTGACCAAGGACAGACAGCTGCTGTGGCTCTGGCTCCAGCTAAGCTGAGCCCTGGGCCAGAGCCAGAACCCCTGCCTGTCCCGGACTGCAGCCAGGGTCGGGGCTGGGATCAAAGTAGCCCATGCTGCTGCTGCCTGGAGTCAGAAGCCATGGAGTTCAGGGCTGAGGTCAGCAGTGTGGATTGCAAATCAAGGAGTGGCATAAGTCTGGAAGCAGGTGACAGAGATGATCTTGGATCAGGCAGCAGCATGGGTTGGGGACTGCACAGTGGGGAGATGTGTTAGGGGGGCAAGCGTTTGGGGGAGCCGACAGGAAAGGGCAGGAGACAGGCACTGGGAAGGAGGCAGGGAAGAAGGGGCAGGGGTCAGGTTGCCTGGCCCTCCCAGCTGCTTGCCTCCCTACTGTCAGCTCCTCTGCAACTGCTTCCCCACCACTACTTTCCTCGCCATAGCAGCGGAGACGAAAAATAAAGAGAATCCTCCAGTAGTAATTACGATTCTGTACATGGAAATGATAACAGAATTTGTAAATTTTCCACATATAGAATATAATTATTGCAGGTCATTTTAAACTTGAAGTCACCTTGGTATAGTTACATGGTATCAAGTTTAAAAAGCATTTGCCATGCTGAATTTCAGATAACAACATTCAACTCCCTTAACTGGGAGGAAATTCATAAAAAATAAGTGAATTGGCTTTCTTTCGGAAACAGAAGGCCTAACTTTCTACTAATGCATGATGGCACAACTCCAAAAGGAATGTATTTAACCTGCTGAGTTGAGATCTGTAACAGCAAATAAAGGAAAGGTATTTAATTTGCTCAGAGAATTATTCCTTCAGACTACTACACCCAAGGACTGCTGCGACAGATTTTGCCTTTTCAACCTTGCAGTAACCCACATCATCTTCAGCAGATCCCACCTCAAAAGAAACATCAAGTGTTTTGGAATTAGAAGACTAAGAAAAATGAATCACACATGCACATACACCAACAACCCAAACATCACATTCCTAATTTTTCAGGAGTATGCAACATTAAGGCCTTTACTTGAGCTTTGGGTGTCTGTATTCAGACCTCACCAGCATTCTTTGCTCCATGAAGTCGAGTCCTAACATGCAACATTCCCCCTTCCTGTCCAGATCTACACAGCTCTCTCCATTTCAAAACAGCTTAGCATGGGTTTCCTTAAGTGTTCCTTGGTGTGTCTTCTGCGAACCAATATCAATCATCATTTAAATCTCTTCCTACCTTGTCATGATCTGTTGTCATATCCAACTCGTGTCACTTAAAAGTAACATTGTCAACTTGAAATTTATTCACATGGTTTTTAAACACAGTAGTACTAGATTGGCCCTCACATGCCCCTACCCAGCTCTGTAATTTTACAATCCTGGTTTTTTTTAAGGGTTTCTCTGTCTCCTGTTATTAGGGAAAAAACAACATAAGTGAATAGGAAAAACTGCCTAAGCTTCTGGTTCTGCAAGGGGATGTGTGTAAGCATATGCCAGGAGGATCCAGACCTAAAAAATCACGTGGAAAACAATAAAATTGCCAAATGCACTTAGTTCAAGTGGGTGGACTTTTCTTCCTCCCTAATCTCTTTTATGGATACTAATAAGGATAAAAAAAATTCAGAGAGCATGATTTTTAAATTCCTGATGTTCCCATAAGGTTTTGTCTTTATTTTTACTCACCATGGACAGGATTTTCGTAAAAAGAATTTTCGTAAAAAGTGATTTTTGACACCTTCATTTTGTGGCTTCCAATGAGAAAAAGTTTACAGGGGCCTTACTTTGAAAAAGCCCTGAGCACACATGCTCTGAAAGGCAGGCCTATATAAGGTGTGTCTGATACTGCAGAAATTACAACTGAAACCCTGAAAATTTAATTTCTTCTGAAAATCTTTGACTTAGCGTCTGTTTAAACTGCAAAATCGTAATTTTATAGTACTTTTGATGGGGATGTTTTAAAATAAAAAAAACATAGAACAACACAATGAAGACACTCACCTGTCAGCTACACTTCCTGGCTGGACTTCCTTAACAAAGATACCAACTTCTCCCAAGTTTTGATTTTTAACAGCAACCACACTAAATCCAAGACCACCAATAGATGGTTTTTCTATATTTATATACTCTGTTTGTCGGCCCTAATAAAAAACCAAACACAAAAGCCAGTGAATTGTTAATTTTCAAAACTGCGGAAGTAGATTGTTTAAATTTATGAACACAGAGAGAATTATCATTCTCCTTCTAAAACTAAACAAATGCAGAATAGTGAACATGTTATTTCTATTGAAAAAAACTCCTCCATTTATTATTTTTAATATACCAGAGTGTAGTATATGCAGACAGCCTGAAGTTCTGAAGCCTCGGGGAATTTAAGAGCTGCTTTCATCTCATAATGTGAATGAAGTGTGAATTCCAAAAGGGATGAAAAGTATGAATAAAGTGCTGTCTAGGGCAATATACGTGGAATTTCTGGAAATACTGCATAGCTGAACTAAATTACTTGTCTTTTCACTGCTTTTTGCTTTAAAAAGACTGCATTTTTGGTTCTGTCCAGATGCTTTAGTTTTTAAATAAATAAATTTGTTTTCCTCTACCCTACACAATCTCACACTTAATAGTAAAAAGTTTACTTCTGAATTATTCTAGTTTTCACTTCTTCTACAGAGTTTCTGGGCTTATTTACTGGGTTGTAAGAGTTGGAAAATATTGCTTCAGTTTTAGCCGAGCTGAAGTGTGGTCATTACTCCTAAATCTTTTATTGGATTAGTTAACGGTACACTAATGAGAAAAGTTATGCTTAAAATAGTACCGCTTCAGTAAAACAGTCAGTTAGTAACAGTTACTTAACATAGAAATAAATGCCTAAGTAATTTAATTATTTAAAATAATGCACAAGAATAAATGCACAATTCCACATGGGTGGACACTACACCTGCATAATACTCACCCGAAGTCAATGGGGCTCTGCACAGAAGCACTGATACACTGCATACCATATTTATTCACATCCAAGATGAGATTGCTTCCCAA